TTTTTTTTCCCCCCCCCCCCCATTTTGTACTGTGTCATCTCTGTAAAATCAATAAATAAACAGCATTTTTAATTTCAGTAAATATTTTCATAATCCATCTACTCCCTACATAGAGATATGATAACAACAATTTTTTGTGTCAGTGAAAGTTCAATTCAAAATGCAGAGACTGCAGGAGGAGAGTCTCTAAACATGGAGAATAACTGTAAATATGCTGTTGCAGACAGAAGAGAAGGGGATGGTTCAAATCTCTGGCAGAAGTCCAAAGATCTCTCATTGTAAAAAAATTAAAACATGAAATGTCACAACCGGCCTTGAATATGGAAAGGATAAATATATAGGCTGTTGTAAATATAATAATGAAGTATGTTCTGTAAAAGGTTAGGAACTTCTTAACTGGCCAAGCATCTATCAGTTTTTCCAGAGTGCCTCTTGAATGACTAACAAGGAACTTCAAGAAAAGTGAAACCTAGGAGGCTACAACCTGGTTTGACATGGATGACAGAAGGAATACGTACACAATTCTGATGGGCAAACCTTCTGGAAAAAATTCCAATCCAAGACCAAAATGAAGTGGGAGGATGGCATTAGAAGTTTCTGGGACAGGTTGTGGAGAATGGAGGTGGACAGAACTGGTTCAGAATTATATCCAATGGTAGGTTTTGTTAATAGAACCTTTGGGTGCTGCTACCATAGTTCAGTTAAACAAAACATGTAGCAAATTTACAACAGCACTTACAAATTTTGTCTTAAACAATCTTATAATTTCACACTCATTTCAAGTTAGAAATATCAATGTAAATATATTATATATTTTTTCCTTCATGTTATGTCCATTAGCATAACAATATTAAAATATTCTAGACAGTGAGATAGAAGTTTGCAACATATTACTTAATTAAAGAGAAGTCTTCATTTTAAAATAAGCATGAATGAAAGAATAGAAACATAAAAATATTATAATTAGTAAGCTGTAAAACCATACTGTACCTTATGGTCACCCATGCACGTGCCTGCCCCCATCAGTCCGTACTGCACACTACCAGGTTCATTTATCTGTAATACATTCCAGTGAAATGTTCTTACAAACAACGAGAAAAAGAATACAACAGCCTTTCCAAGCACACTCTTGACACCAATAGTTTTACAAAGTTCACGGGTAAAAGTAAAAGAATACAGTTTGGAGAGCACAACAACAAAGGATATTGACCTCTGTTTCTGTCCATTTCCTTCAACATGTTTAGACTTTCACACAGAATCTCTTGACATGTTGCAACATTATGTTACTACAAAAGAACCACCATGCTACCATGCATGAGGAATTACCCAGCTTTATCATGGCACTGTTCAAAACTACAATTGTTTAAAGAATTATACAGAAACTTACATTGCTGGTAAGGGACTTTGCAGAGTTGCTAAGAAGGACACGATCACACCAAGATGGACATCGAGTCTGCATGTAACATTCTGCTCCTTTCCGATCCTCTTCAAACGGGTAACTTGGTGGGAAACTGATGGGAAACTCATACAAACGATCAGCAAAAGGTTCAAGCTCACGGTCAAATTCCCTCAGCTTGAAAATGAAACAATGGACTTACATTAGCAATGCTGACAGTCTACTATACCACATGATTATAACCTTTCAACTGTCACATAATATAAAATTGAAGCCTAAGTTCACATAGGCAAAGAGCTATTACCTTAATTTTAATTCAATTAAGATCAGTAATGTTACTTTTATTAAACTCTTTCTAACATGAAACTCCATCAGGTACAATTTACTTTCTTTGAAGCTAAACTGTTGGTATCAGACTGAATGTAGACAGATTGATTTTTTCCAATGTGAATGTGAAAATTCCTTTTAGGTTCACTGTGGATGGTCCATCAATATTTCCAAATTTTGCCTGGACAGCCATTGTACTTAATACAATTTTTTCACAATGGTTGATTGAAATTTCCTATAATATTCAAACACATTCCCAGTAACAAGATATTATGCAAATATTGTATAGCAGCGTGTGAAGTGTTAGAGTGCCAATGCAGGAAAATGTGTAGTAATACATTTTTAACAACCCCATAAACTCACCCATTTTCCATTTTCTTCTATGAACACGGTTTGGTGGTCTTGGTGACTGAATTCCTTCTTCCCCAAAGAAAGGATTACCTGAAAAAGTTTACATATTAGCCATGAAACAGTATGCTCAAAGTTTAATGACAGAATTAAAATGGAACTGAATTAACAATAGTGATGACAAAGCAACAATACAAAAATAAAATTACATAACATTTTATTTTACCACACCAAGAACATTGTATAAAGTACAGCTTCCTCATCACTTATGAAATTTGTTCAAAACATCATGTAATCTGGCAACATTTAAGCTACTTTTCTGAATATTAAAATTGTTACATACATAACAATTTCTGAATATTTAATGCCATACATTTATTCTTCCTAAGAGGAACAAGAATAATTGATGTCCTCCATATCAGACAGTAATTTTTATTAATTCTGATTAGCCCATGTACCCAAGGAGGGTATGTGAGCTATATCCTACAGGCATTTTGTGCCATACCATGGCTGGATCATACTGAAAAAATCAAAGTTCCATCACCTGCAATGAAATGCTTGATGATATTATCATTCATGATTTTGAACTGCAAATTTCCTCAATTCTCAATTGTTATGTATAAAAACTTGTTGGGAAAAGTTTCCCACAAACTCTTTTTCATTAAAACTGTCATACCATTTCCTCTGGCATGTTAAAAAGTCTCACCATCAATGTGATACTTTTTCTTCTATTAGGTCAAACTAATTCTCTTGACATTTCTATGGGCCACAGAATACCATGATCGTATGTCCTCTATCTTCTTTTAACATCTTAATCCATTTAAAAGTTCTTTACCAAATCTCAGTGTTACCTTTTAGTTCTGTACAGATGTAGCCAAGTCAGACACAGAAATGAACATGAATCTTTATTATAAACAACTTCACTCTGCTCTTAAGATTCAGAACAAAATTTACAACAGCAATTACAGAGCAAAACAAACTGCCAGTACAACATATTTCAATTTAGTCAACACTCAAGCACAGTCATACTGCCTAAAATCTCCAGACCTGAAACTTTTGAGACAGACCATTTCTATGTAAAATGATTTGTAATTGAATTCATACATTAATATTACTTTGCCATTAATGTATAACCAAAACATTTAGAAAAAAAATAATACCTTTGTACTGTGAAGACAGAAATTACACCACACTGTGAAGAAAATATATGAGAAATTTAAATCACAAACGGCTGACCTGGCTAGTCCCATCACGGTACTGCAGCTTCGTATGATCAGTGCTTTTATTACTCTGCAGTCTTACTGGGTTCAAACCTTCTGCTAATTTCTGTTATGGAGAAGAAAAAAATTCATTCAGACCCAGCCACAGAAAGAAAGAACATCCAGGTATTAAAAGACACAATAAATTGTATGTCTGGTTAGATGACACTACAGATACAGAGAAAAATTAAATAAATGAAAAGCAAGCAACTGATACACTGCTGTTAAGAATGAATTAATCCTGTCTGAATCATATTCAGACTGATCCCTAAATGTCACAATACTGAACAAAAAAGTTGTTTAGCAATATATCATGTTAAGACAAATAATTCAGGAACAGAAAAAATGCACATTATATGACCTATATTGAAGCATAAAGATAATGAACAGTACAACAGCAATCACTACAAGAGTGAAGGGGGAGTATGATTGCCAAGGCCAGGACAATAGTATACAAGGGTACATTTAGGCCATGAAAGAGGAATTACAATAATAAGAGAAGATGAATAATGATAAATATGATGAAAAATAAATTACAATTACACAAGTGTTTTCAACATAGACCTCTAATTTCTGGAATATTAAATGAACACATGATATACAATGTATTACTATTTTATGACAAACTCTGCATTCATTTCACAAATGAATACACAATGTAATATTAACTAAATTTTTTTCAGAGCATTATTCCCAGATTTACTAAAACCTGGAAACTACAATGAAAGATAGCTCATGATCAAAGCACTCTCATCAGACTGGAATCCATAATATTTATCTCTATTACCAACTCAATGAGGAAATTCCAAAAACAAATAAAATTACTTTATAAGTCAAACTGAGTATAAGTCTACTTCAGATAAATTATAAGAAAACACAAAACAAAATTACCTGGGTTATGAGATTCTTTAAATCCCAAGATTATGGTCAACTTGTAGTAAACCAGTGATTATTCAGCTTAAAACAAAATGACAATAAATTAAAAGGGCTTTAAATTTATAAATGGCCTTTACATGTCATATATTACATAAACCTCAGCACTGAATGAAGTATAGGTAAACTCAAATGCAATACATTCTATAAATGGAGCTATGATCATACAAAGAGACTGAAATCTGAAACTAATACAAGAACACATGACCTAACTTGAATTCAAGCATGGAGGGGGATAAAATTATGATAAATAGTTACACCCAAGCAGAAATTTTAATACAGAAAACCATGAGTGGGGAAAAAAACCTGTTGTATCTTGCACATTCCAAGAGCTTTATATGTATTATCAGACTTCCTTGCATGTATCTGAAATGAAATGCATATATCTATATGAATCATTACTAACCTATCTGGAAGGGACTCAACATGGAGTACTACTGAACCTGCCCTGACTCAAAGAATCCACTCCAAAACCAAGATAACAGAGCAGAAAAACAAAAGAAACTCCTACTGACTTTGACAACTCCTTGTGCATCTGTCCTGAAGTTAAAGTCACCAAAGACAAAGAATGGAGCTGTTCCATAGTCATCATTATGAAACCTGAAAGAAACAAAATCATCACATTAAACTACATAAACACAACTGTTCTGTTCAAAGGACTTGGAGGCAAATCTCCACACATTCCAGATTTTGGCATGATGGCCCAAGAGTCATTAATAGATTATGTGGCATTATGGGCTCTTACACCCAACAGAGCCACTTTCATGATGTCAAATTTTATGTTTCTTGACACTGGGGAACAATATAATCACATTTATTCTGTAAGACAGTAATGAAAACAATACACAGTTTACTTATTTGGATGTAATGACATATTAAACCTGTCCTACTTTCCTTTTCATATTATTGGGGTTGTGTTCATGAAACATAAATTTTTCCAGTTGGTGCCCACATTCTCTCTCAACACAGCAGGCTCCAATAGAATGCAAACGGTTTTACTCCTTTGTGCAACCTTTTCACTGGCAAGTCTTGTCATTTACAAACAGCCCAACCCAAGTGATTCTTACAACAGACTACTTATCAAAATGAGCTATGCTACATAGTACAGCTTGGCAGCTAGGCTGTAACTTTTGGGACACTTCTATTTTCAAATAGAGACAAGTTTGGTATAGTGCCATGACAGTCTATCATCATACATACAACAGACAGCAGAATGGTTTAGTTTTTACTGCATTAACACATCTATGATACAAAAGATGTGTGAAATTCTTTAACATGTATAAGCAAATAGTTAAGCCATGCCCAGGAGAGCATCCATGCTGCAGGCTCATACCTATGAAAGGGTTAAATTTAAAAATAAACCACTACTAAGCTAATCAGGTAAATGTAAATAAAATATTTTTCTAACCTATCCAGCGTATGTTCCAGAGCACGTCGTCGATTCTTGCAGTAAACTGAAGGGAACTGGAAAAGAGAAAAATATTTCTGAAAATTACATGTTTAACCAGTGATGCACATACTTCTTAACAAATCTAAAATAATCAAAAAAAGCTGTTGCACAATTACTGCAATATTTGAATATATGATAAAACCTTCTTGGGCAATCAGCTACACCAATTCAGAACAGATGGCCAAGAAGAACCTAGTCAGAAACACATGGTACATGGACCACCTAGTAAAGGAGGCCATCGAGATGTGGTTACACAATTTCAAAATAGATAATGCACTAAAAACTGTAAAAGAAGTGTTTGCAATATCCAAGTAAGTGTTTAACACAATCTGCCTTATGGAACAACCGCATTAGTCAGCCAACAGCAAACATTACCTTCTCAATCATAACTTCAATACGCATTCTGTACTACTGTGGTCACACTGTAATTATAAAAAGTATAACACACACACTTGACCCTGGATTAAATCTGTGGATTATGGGCAAATAACCCTTTTCTTTTGTGCTTTACATTTCCTGTTACCAAAACATTATTTATAAAAGTACAACAAAAAATATAAAACAAAATAAAATACAATAAAAACAATAACATACTAATGGAACTGGTAGGAACACACAAAATCTGACTGGTTTCAAAAATCTGTTATCAACATCAATCACAGCTCAGGTCAATGCTTAAACAGTTCAAACAGGACTAATGAATTATAAGCATTTACAGTATGTTTAACATTTAAAAAGTTTATTTCCAGAAAGCTTAGAAAATTCATACTTCCAGTTAAAAACTCATAATTAACACCCCCATTCAATTTACCGGACAACATAGCCCTTCACAAGATAAAGGGATAATACCATTATAACCAACACATTACATCATTCCAATCTTATTAATAACTTTACTACAGCAACTCACTGAAAACAAGTGGTAAGCCGTGGTTTCATCGGTGAGTATTTACAAGGTTCATTTAATGGCACTGTAATAATGGGAATGTGATAATTTCTATTCTACTGCACGAACAAAACATGCATTATTCCATTAATATTTTATGAAATCCCCCAATACTCTAAAAGAATCTCCTATGATGCAGAAACTGAACAAAACAAAGTTTTTATTTGACAGCTTCAGTAAGTAAGTTCCAGGGCAGAAGCCATAACTAGAATAGAACACCAAGGAGTTATTAGCTGTAGTTGCCTTCAAAATACTGTACTTAAAAAAATCACACATTTCTGCCTCTAATCCTACATCCTGACTGATGTTTTCTGTGGTTTTCCTTAGTCACTCCAGGTAATTGTCAGAATAGCACCTTAAATTAGGCCATGACTGCTTACTTCTATATCCTCGCCTATTCAATAAGAATCCAATCATTTGATGTCATACTGCCTTAACTACTAAAAGCATCATTAAATAAATCACAAATAAACAGAAATTTCCATTGATGTCAAAATTTGATGTTAACTCACTGCATGAAGCAACCCATATCCACACTTTCTAAACCATTTACACACTATGTGTTCCTCTTGGATTTTATCCGAAGGCTACTGCACCACTTCACCAACTGTCAGTGGGGCTCCTGCATGTCTTCACATGCACAAACCAAATGCCATAACGTCATCATATTTACACGGATCCTGGAACTTCTGAAGTTACTACATATTCAGGAAAGTAAAGAAGTAAAAAATCACCCCCCCTCCCAAGTTTTAGGAATAATGTGTCTAGGTTGTCTTTTACTTACCGATTCCACAGCAATAAAATTAGAAGCATCATGGAATAAATGAATATTAATGAGGTCAAATACTGTTCCATTGAGACTCCACCTTGTACGAAGGAAACCCTTCCGTGACCATTTACACTATAAGAAAATTAAAGCATCACTCAGGTTAAACAGACTGAAAATTGTGTTTCCTCATCAATTCATAAATAAATTTTTGTTGTCATTTTTCTTAATCAAAAGCATTCCACAATAAAAACCACTTTTCTATTAAAAACAACAGTGATCTGAAATCCTGGTATGGACACAGAATTTTTCTCTTTGCCACCATATCCAGAATAACTCTAGTCTGTTTTAAAGTCCAAAGTATTCCAGGGTTTCTTTTCTAGTAAGATGGGCGGGCAACAAAGCTGACAAGAGCATGATAATAACCATTCATTCACCTCACACAAAGTGCTAAGGTCGAGAATTCATCAAGCTTAATCTCCGCAACTAATGAACGACTTCATTGTGTAGAGCAGAGGCAACTATATCACCAATAAAAGATCTTCTAAATGAAAAATAAAGACATTTTTAAACATGTGACAGAAAACCTAGAAAACAATTGGTCTGTAAAATTCCTCAGAATAATCAAAATGAATAACCGGCTAATTACTTTGAAAATAATATATTACCACATTCTATCATACATCTGGGACTGTAACTGGTGACTATAGAAATTACAAAAGAGCAAAAACTGTTCCACAAATAACACATTTTTTTATATATGAATGGCATATTTAATTAAAGCTTAGAAAATCACTGTACATGTGAAAATACATTTTATATATTTTCATGTATGTTGAAGTGTAATCTCACCTCTGGGAAGAAGTCTTGCGGAAACTTTGATTTCTCTTTCGTGCTGACAGCTTCAATATTTCCAGAGTGGACTTCTTTTCCTTTGGCAGATATAAAACCCATCGCTGCAATTTCCCAAAATAACAAATCAACAGTACCAAACAAAAAAAGAGTTTATTTTTAATTTCTTAACATAAATTTTATTTTTGAAGCTGATGGACACAACACTTACCTGAAAAGTCCCATATAAGCACATCTGACATGGATTCATGTATAAAGTAGAAATTACCCAATGCCTGAAAATATAAAAAATTTCATGATTTTAAGCTTCCTGCACTGTTCTGGTGTATAAATTTTCTCACTGATAAACCAAAATATTTTATACTGATTTATTAAATCCTCAATGCTAAATTTCTTAAGTAAATAATGTAACTTTAAACATGAAACATGGATAGTGGACAGGCAAAGCTTCCGTAATATATACCCACATTTCAAATAATATGTGCAAAGATGCATAAAAATTAAAACTAATATTCTAAAGCAAGACAAGGGAATTAATCTATTTAATAATGTAATTTCAGCAAGATTTAAAAGAAGTGCCACCATATTTAATCAACTTAATGAAAATAACCACATAGCTATTCTAGGCCTGAAACTCTTCAAAACTCATGAGACGTTAATAGCCTATGACTACCCACATGTTCATAAATAAAAATAATAATATATTTTCTCACAGATGCCAGGTGAGTTACAGAAATTCTTATTTATTTTCCATTGTCCTTCTCTATAAATCTTTCTGAGTTGCAGCAATCTGCCATTTTAGTAAATCATTATTATTGTATCTTGTGTGTTATGAGATACATGATAAAAGAAAGGATTTAGCACACATGAAACACACTTTGCAGTTACAAAAATTGTAAATAAAACACTTCACAAAAAAATTACTTAAGGTAAGTTTTACATACACATGATAGTGTAGTATACATACAGTAGTATTTCATGCTTACGGTGAAGTTTTCAGCAGAAGAATAATCCTCATCGAGGTATACTCGTACTTTGTCAAATAATCTAAGCTCTTCACTTGACATCAGCAGTCTGGAATATAATACATGCAATTTTAAGCATGCCACAAACTTTCCAAAAAGTAAGTCTGTGGCAGCAGAACCTTAAGACTCAACACTGCTAATAATAGGAAGCCCTGCCACGAGATACAATACTGAGTGGAAGCGTTTCAAGAGGTTTCCTCACCAAAATATTGCACGCATTCAGGGTCTCTCTAATCCTCACCAAATGCCCATTCATCTTAGATATCACTACCAGACCAATAATAATTTATATTTATTTAACACTGCTCATCATACTAATACTAGATAACCTGTATAAATCACAACATTCCTTATTACGAAATATCCCAAATGGCTCACTTACTTCACCTTTGTTAGGTCCAAATACTTTTCTGAGTGCTGTGTTTTCAAACACCTGTAATTTATGTTATTTTCTGGAACAGACTGTTTCACATCCACAAAAACAAATAGAAAGTGACAGAAGATTTCTGTCTTCTGGGTTGTTGCGCTGTGTAGAATCATTTTAGAAAGCAGATAATATAACAAAGTTTTTAACTGAACACTAAGAGTATTTCAGCAATTTATTCTTTTACCAATTCTATCATAAACATCAGAAATATCTGGTGCTGTTCCTTAGATTTTGAAACAAACTCACAATTTATTACATAGTCACACTGCCTTTTCTGCAGTTTCTTTACTGGCCTCCAGAGGACTTTTTCATACTCTACATGCTATTTATATATTCACACTCAACAACCTTACTTTTATCAACATAAACAAGCACCTATTTTATGTTATTCAATACAAGAACTTTCTGATGCTCTTCGGCGTTACTGATGGCATATCAAAGAAACTTATCAAGTACTGAGGATAAAGAATCCTCTTGTTTAGCTTATTGTGAAATACACAAACATCACATAAATGTTACCTACATAAGCTCCACTAGACAACTTCCAATAAACTCTTTATGGAATACTGAAATTAAAACTCTCTTAATCCTTAATGTATGGGGATGGGGAACTATAACCCTCATACATGGACTTTACCTCCAGAGCTATTGGTGAAGTGGTATGCTACCGCTAAACATAGCCATCTGGACTACAAGTATGTCATGGTACATGGCAGATAAAAGATAAATTCAACTGCCAAATTAAATTTCTCAAATTCTATTAAAATATATAATATTTTACGAAAACAATGACTTCCATGAAAAGATATCAGAATTGACCAATATGTATAAGTTTTCTGATTGCAAACCACAGAATGGAGAAATGAATAAAGAAAATAAATCTTATGCAGGCATATTCTCAGTATACAGGGGAAAGTATGGTTAGACAAGGTTAAATAAGTACATGTATGAAATCTGAAGTGGTCAATTAACATGAACAGATCACTACTGTGGGAATCTATTAGTGTGATTTCTTACCACTGCAGCATTTACAAACAGGGACTAAGGGGAAAACATTAGGCAGAGTTGACAGTCTCAGGGTTAAGATTGACCTTCAGGCCTCCTATAAAAGACAGCACAAGGATGGTGGCTTCTTTCTAGGAGGTTGTGCTGTGTAGTCTGGTAGATACTAATCAATATCTAGGAGACTATTGCCATGAGAACCTGAAATCTCAGACAGCAAAAGGACATGCAAAACTCTCACAGTCATGTGGTTACAGACCAACAGCAGATTGTAGCTACCAAGCCAGCTAAAAATACGACAAGGATGTTTAATTTGGCAGTAGGGTAATTTAAAGTACTTGTTATGTAAAAGGTTTATTATTGTACAGCCTTCATTAACAAACTGTTAAAAGCTTGTATAAACAGAGTGAAACTCAGAGGTTTCATAGATACACAACTACATTCAACGAAGACTTTATGTTAACATTTACCAGCTTTAAATCTGTCTGAATTTGATCTTTCCCAATATGAGTAAGTTTTTTTTTTTGGGGGGGGGGGATTTTCAATGTATTCCTTTTTATAACTAATGTAATAAGCACGTGAGTAACACAAAAAATATGTACCAGATGCTTAAATACAGAAATACATTTTTACTGTTTCTGTGACTAAAATGTTGAATTGCACTTAATATCTCATGGACAAAAAGGACAGATAAACATTACCTTGCTAACTGAGAATTGGAACCTGGACTAATTAGCATACAACAAACTTTAAATTACCAAAATCTTGTATAAGAAACTACAAGCAACTCAATGAAACATTGTTAAATGTTTCAGATTCTCCCCCTTCCAACATATTCTGTGAAATGAAAAGAAGTGCTCCATTAATAGTAGCTTGGCTGGTCACCCAATTTCCATGCTGGCAAGCCACCCCTTGTTGACTGTATAAAACTATTTGTTCAGTACATTCACAGCTACCCTCAACATCTGGAGAACTTCAAAAATGTTTATATATATTAATTGTGTAAAGCAGAACATCTTGATCATTATGTACCTATTTATTTGTGAAAACAATTTTTCTACATGTCATGTGCAAGAAAGTAACAAATGATAAGAAAGAGCCATGTTATTAACAAAACCTGAAAATTGACATAGAACAAACTGGTTTCTTTCATGGACCACAGTTAGCCCACTCCTGCATTGGATGTTACATAGTTATGCAGCTGAGTGTGTTGTTAAATAAAATTATCATAATTCTTTACTTAAAACTCAAATACCATCAATACCATATGCCAAAATCTTCTAAAATAAACAAAATATGCCAAAACAAACTTTTCTACAGTTTCTTAGCTAATCTAAAATATTTCATACAAAGAGTTTCCAACTGCCAATTGTACTTAAAAATTTATTATTTCTACACATATACTTAAATTACTTTATGTAACTTAACTCAGGCTGTATATCTGAATAGGTCATAAAGACAATGGCCACACATTTATCTACACAATGCACTACTTTCTCTTTTAAAATAAAACAATGTCATGTATAATGTAAAGGACACAAAATAAATTGAAGGTCAGCACATATCTCATTACTGAAGTCTTACAAGTAGAGGAGCCAAAAGTCACATACCTAACAAAATACTCCACATGCTTCATGCTGCGTTCATAGTTCTTCCCTCCAACTTCCTGGCAATGTAAAGCTATGAATTTTGGATCCAGTCTTGATATAGTCTGTAAAAAATGAAATCATACACACATAACACAAAAATTGCACACAGAAACCATAATAACTACATATCTGAAGAAGAAAAAAAACATTTGCCAGCAAAACAGAAGTATGACAACAGATCTTTCAAAACCCAGAAATAGCCAGCATTTAATTCGACTCACATCATACAAAACTACTGTACAGAATTAATTTACTGTCCTATTTATTACAAGTGGTCAGTATCAACTGAAGGTACTGTGAATTTGGTAGAGTCTACTAAGGCAGCTAACATAAAGGTGTATCCCACTGAAATACACATATTATATTTTCAAAATGTATTCTTGTCAATTTTGTACACCTCACTGGCACCCAGGTTCATTTATTGCAGATACAAAGCTGACCACTTATCTTCTCTAGTGCCACAATTAAGAATGCATGGAGTTTTGCCTCAACTTACACATACACCTTCATAGTGCAGTGCTTAGGCACAGTGACAGTCTTACCTTTAATTTCAAACAATTAAATACCTTGTAGCTATACTTACAGATAAAAATTCTTCAGTCCATAGTTTTAACATCAAAGATGGCTGTAAAATAAAAGCATTTATTTTTTTATTCTACACAAATCCCAGGCAGACCTCACAAAGCTTACTTTCTACTGCACAGATTTCAAATCTTACAAATCTTTTACATACATACATACATCTTTATTACATTCCATGGATCCATAAGATAGTCAGATGACAACAGGATGTGGAAAAAGTCATAATAATAATAATACAATACATATAACGCACAATTCATACTATTATATAAATTTCACATAATACAAACGCAGGGTTCACCTAAAGTAATGAGAAGTTACAAATAAATCTACCCATTACATACACAAGATAAATTACCACTTATTTGTAAGTAATAGAAATTCATTGACAAAGTAAAAGGAGTATGTAATGAAGTACCTTTTTAATGCTACATTATGTTGTGCCTTTTTATTTACAAGACTTGTGAGACTTGATGGTAGACTGTTCAAAATATTGATCCCTGCATAATATGCACTCTTCTGAAAACATGAGAGGTTCACAACTGGTTGTGCTGTTAATGCTATGTTTATATAATATAAGTTTATAATCAAACAAATTCAATTTAGCAAATAAGTTAGCATGCTGCTACTGCCAACTGTTGCAAAAAGAAATAAAGTTGGGGTGGCAGCAGTGACACAGCATTCACATATCACAGTCCATAAAAGATTATCAAATGGTTCAAATGTTGAAAGGGGACACACACAGACAGTTGGTAGCCTCACAAGCCTTATTCCTTAGGCACATTCACTATGAAAAGTTGCATACTGAAAGCACAGGCAAGTTTGTATCCTAAAATGATACTAAGCAACTTAACATGACAGATAAGCAGGTAGCAAAGTTCAAATCTTGGTCTAGAGACTAGCTAACATTTTTCATATTTTCTCAGTCCCTTGAAGCAAATGTTTGGAAAAGCAATGACTACTTAATTTAAAATACTCCCCTATTCATTATTCACAAAACAATATATGCAGCTGTAGAAAGAGATGTTAAAGAAACCAAGAGTTACTCCAAGATCCTTATGAGATAAGGACCCCTGAAATGTTGGCAAACTTCTACCAAACTACAGGACAGTACAGAAGTTTTCGTATACACTGCCATGAAAACCTCAAATCCTAGTAAGAGTTAATCTATACTAAACAAAGAAATATGAAAATCTGTACACCACTAAACAGACATATTTTCCAAATACATTCTTTGTCATTTTTCAAACATCATTGGCCTTGATTTATTACCAATACAAATATATTCTAGCAAAGCTAAGCGCACTATAGTTATGATGTTAAGTTCGGTTATGTGTTTCCATCTGTCTGATGTTTCAGGCTTCTAGATTATTCTAGAACAAAACTGCCGGAACATTAACAACGCTTACAAGTACATGCTGGGCAGCTTCGACAACCTTATTAATGCTACTGCAACAGATTACTAATAAATTTAAATATTTAAAAACATAAGTTACTTAATATTGAAGTAATACTTTCTGATTCACCTATAACAAGTTACACCAGGTGCAAATACTCACGTCTTCAAAAATTGAACCCACATTAGCAGTAACCAACAACACTGGTGTGCTTTGCCCCGCCATAATTCTCAAGTATGCAATTAAGTTTGGCAGCGCATGTCACAAAGTTTGGGGCTCTTGTTCTTCAGAACGTTTACACTTCTTTATACTGTTCCATACTAACAGGAAACAACGTTAACCAACGTAGCATTACATTATATCTTCAGATATGCGTCACTAAACAAACTCTCCGCCGCAACCCTTCTAGGTGCTCCAAGCCACGCCTACTTCAAAAGACGTCAATGGGTTTTGGGAAAATGTGGATATCACTGAACATTTGCCGATCGGCATAGCTCGAATTTTCGTATACATTCAAGCACAATAATTCGTATTTACAGTCAAACCTTAGATTCAAATGTAATATGCAAGTTATAGTAGAGCTTAAAAATCTCAAGTCATAAAATGTGTTTTACTGAATCGCCTCTATATCCTCAAAATATTCTTCAAAAAGTCGTTCATAGTTTTTCACGTCTTTTATCTCCCCAACGTTGCCAACATTTTAGGTCATACTGCGATTTGCCAAAGTTTTGCTCAAGCATGGGTCTAAAGTGAGATAACATGTTGGGGTATATTATTGCTGTCAAACTGTTTCTCACAAAGAAACATAAACAGCATTCTAATTTCTTATTTGAGTAGTTTCTTTAATGCAGAGCATCATTTAAACAACCCCAGCAGAAAGACAGCCAAAGGAAGAAGGCAGTTGTGTTATAATCTCTGTTTCTTGGTGTCTCGTAATCTCCGGCGCGAATACTCCAGTTGTGGAGAAATTGCACTTTAAGCAATGGTCATCTATTACCTATGACTTTTTCCTGTGGCGATAATATCGATATCATGGGTCAGTTGTAAATAACCAAGGAATACATGGCGGAAAAGCTCAAATGCTAGAAATTGGCAGTGATTGGAAGTCTTACATAACCTATAATATCCGTGCTGATGCGGTCAGCTTGATGATGTCTAGCTCATGGTTTGGCAAAGTTTTAGGACAGTTTGCTCAGAAACGTATACCTAGTATAATTACAAAGTTTGAGTTTAAGTTACCCGAAAGATACAAAGGCACTTTCATTGAAAAATGGGGCAAGTATAAACATTTCAATAGAAAAAATTCTGAAGATGACTGTCTTCTAGGACATTGTGCTCTGTACTTAGAACTCTGGTAGGCATTTCGGAGGAACTTATCACTTCCATCATCAGGGTGATGAAGTGGGGTGAAATTATGTCTGTATTTTGAACCCACTATTGTGACCATGATCATATTTCAAGCTGATACATGATGAACTCTCCAAAAGTATGCTCTTGGCCTATCATGAGAAAATGGTCATTTTGTTTTGTAGTTAACATTAGCATTTACATAATTTTCGTGATTGTAACTTAGGATTAGTCATATTATTGTGGTAGTTTTCTTAGATATTAGATTTGGCCCAGTAAACTTATAATATGTAAGTTAGAATATTTGCGTTAGGTCTGTATCCAAAAGTACCTGCTTGGAGTTTAAGTAGTGGTCTTGTGGGTTATTCAACAATTCATGGGATTCCTCTGTCGCAGATGCTGATGACACAAAATATTTATTGGTTGGCCATATGACTTGTATTTTTTTATCATTCTCAAATGCACACTTATTATTTCTGTAGGAAACTACTGGAAAAATTTGTGTATAGATTACAAGGAAGTAGCCATTGAAACAGCTGAAAGTGCACGTCAGGAACCAGTAAAAGCTCTGTTTATTTGTAGTGGTAAGTTTTTCATGCATTTTCTTTGTTTTTCTTGAGATAAAGGTGCAAGTACTAAGAGGGCCAAATATGATATTTTTTAAGTTTTGCTGAAAAAAAATAAATCTTCAAAATATGCAGCCAGAAAAGAGCTCTTAATTTTGATATATAAGAATTGCATTTTGTAATTTTTTCAACATTCTCCATATATTTTTCAGGGCTTGGCTTCATGGCATACTGTGCATGTAACAATCCGGATGAACAAACTTTTCGTGACAAATTCCTCTTTTACACAAATGAGGTGGCACTGATTGGAGAGTCAATTCGTAACCCACTGGCTGTTAGTCACCTCAAGTTCCTTGAAACATGTTATAACACGGGTGTGATACGAAAGCTGAGTCTTGGAATCATTAGTTTCATCTGGATCAGTGATTATGACAAGTCATCTGGGCTTTATCAGGCCCATTGTGATTTCCTAGAGCCAAAGTTTTCAACTTTTCATGAACGAATAGTTGATATTGGATTCCTTGGACAATGGTGGATTCTGCAAGGGACCATGAAAGACTACGATGTTAATCCTTCAGAATTTAAAAGCATACAGAATGCATAACAGTAAATAGTTTTGGTTTAGTATAAATTAGAAGACAATATTATAATATATATTCTTGTTGTTATAAATCTGTTGTGCATTAAAGACATTTCACAGTATTTTATTCTACTACTTGCTCAGTCAGTATAGTGACTAACTACGGGCTGGACGACCGGGGTTCGATCCCCGACGGGGGCAGAGGATTTTTCCTCTAGCCTCTGCATCCAGACCAGCTCTGGGGCCCACCCAGCCTCCTCTACAATGGGTACCGGGGTCCTTTCCCAGGGGTAAAGCCAGCTGGGGCGTGATGCTGATCACTCACCATCTAGTGCAGAGGTCAAGAAAGAGAGGAACTATACCGCCGCTCACCCCAAACGCCTACATGGCGTATAGTGGGACAAACTTTACTTTACTTTACTTACTTCTGTAAACAATTTGACGAAAGTTTGACTTTCCTCACTTGTATGTATAGCCTGCTATTTTGAAGACATCTATATATACACATGTTGGTCAATAATACTTTATTAATCATTTTTAAGTCATTTACATATATGACACACACACCTACAGCTTCATAAACAGCATTTTCAGTAAAGTGGTTTTTTGGCCTTCAAACAAATCCAGTGTTGAAGTATGAGGCATACTCATATTATCCCGTATGTGACTTTTTCATATGGTGAACAGTGATAGTACAGCGAGGACTCCTTACCAACAAATATGAATTTGAATAATGTGTGAATATATAACATTCTGGTTATCTGTCATGGATTTTCACACATTACTAATTAAGGAGATGCCACAGAGTTCAATGCTGCCCCAAGATTTTAAACCCCAATAGGGCCAATTTGGTGTTGATTTATAAGCAAATGAGTATGGTAAATAAAGTAAATGAGCTTTATTCAGTATTTGCCATACAAGTGTTTTAAATAAAAAGTAAAACATGCTGGCAGGCTTGCCAAAGGCACAGCCATTTGGTTACAACTATGTCTTAGTTTACTTGTCTACATAACAAAACAATTAACGGACAACAGGACTTACTGAAATGGCTACAATTATTTGTAATAATACTGAGGTATAAGCACAAAACATTCATCACAGAGGTTACACTGAACTTGACCACTCATGCATTAGGATCACAAATTTGAATCTGACTCAAGGCAGTGGTGTTTATATGAATTTTTTTTGTGTTGTGCTGTCCCATGTAAGGAGAGGGCTTGCAGTGGGCTGACCACCCCATCCAAAGAGTCCTACCAAATGTCTAAAGGGATTCACAGTTTCAGACCTAATTCTGAATTGGAACAGGCCTTACTGGCTAATACATAAAAGCAATAACTGAAGCAGATTGCACATCAACAGTATTTAAACATTTTGACAACTATTGAAATGGACAAGATTGAATGAGGTCAGTCTTGTAGAAAGGCACAATGTTTGTTCTTTTCAGGTTTGGCTGCTGGCTATGTACTGTACCACATAAAAATACAAGCTGATCAAGTTAAAAATGGCCATTATCACTTGTATGAAAGTTTTTGCGCAATACAGATATTTCAAAAATGGTTACAGGACATAGTAACAAGTTAGCCTTATATTAACCCTACAAGAATTCAGTAATATTAAACGGGCACAGTGTTCTACGGCACATCAAAGTATACAGGAATTTATTTATATTCCAGCATTTTTCAATATATTCAGGTGGAAAGAATTAGGAATTAACAGTTTCATATTGACCTAAAGCACAGAAAAGGAATCTGAAGGATTAGTAAAATATTGCAGCAGAAGAGTAAACAGTTAGAAATATACTTCATATTGATTACTAGTGTGATACTTGTTTGGCTTACCAGATCATAGAAAACAATAAAATGTAGTGTCCACATGCTTTTATAAAGCTTACTATTTTAGACATTAATACGATACAAATTGTAATGAATGAAGGATAACTTAAGCTATTTATTGGAACACAGAACAGCATATTAAATGCCTGAAATTATTTCATGTGTTCTGAAAGACGATGCTAATACTGTAGTGACATGGTTGGCCTTTGTAAGGTACCCATGTAATATATTTTATATATCTGAAATTCCAAGTGTTTCATAAATAAGCAGAGAACTCCACAGAATGGGCTTATTAATGGGCCTAAATTAAGTTGGCAAGTTATATGAACATGGGTGTGCAATGTTTGCTACTGAGACAGCTTGATTTAATGAAATAATGCAAAATTTTGTTAATGGATGTGGTTTACTTGAATGTGCACTTATAAAAGGCAAACACACTTCGGGAAGGTATAAGGACTGATCACCATTAATATAAATGCAAGCTTTAGCAAGATACTTCAAGTGCTGTTATACATGCTGAAAAACACTTCATATGATTTAATTCATAAGTAATGTTCTTAGTATTTACAAGACTAATCATAATCAAGACATGGCACCACAGTAGTTGATGATAAAAAACATGTGTGATGTTACATAACACAATTCAGTGTTTCTTGCAATCCACTAACGTTTATGTGTCAATTTAGAAGTTCCCTCTTAATGTTTATGAAATTTTTTCTAAGGTATATGTAGAAAATTAATATAATATACACACTGTTACAAGAAGTAGGAGAGTCCGTTAAAGAAGTATGCAATTTCAGTATTCTTTACTTGCATAAAAACTTGGGCAAAGAATGGGATCTTTAAGTTAGCAGAAAATAAAAACAGCATTTATTGCAGACTTAGTGATCCAGTTTCAACAGTCTTTTTATCATTAGTGAAGCGTTTGCAGTCTTGTGTTCAGATGAACTTCTAGACTCAGTATGGTATTTATTCATTAATGAAACATCCATTGTAATAACAAAGATATGTAAGGTATCATGTCATATTTATACAGGGAAATTAACAAATACATAAAATTTCTGCCCTTTAGTACATGTTTGTATACCTGGGCCCTAATATAGTGTTATCCAGTGTCTGTATTGTGATACTTCCAGTGAGGTATTATCAAATGTGCTGTGCCTCTTTGTTCTTACCATTCTTTTTCTCACAATACATAAGCAGTATGATTCAGATTAATTTACCTATAAACTTTGACTAAAATGTCCAGAACAAAACAATCTTGTAATTAAATTTTACTGATGGCAGAGACTCTTCATGCTTAGATATTGTAAAGAAGTATGGTTTGATATGTGAGGAATATAAATATATCAACTTTCAGCCAATAAATATAGCTTTAAGACTTGACATTAACATCCTGAAGTTTAACATCAACATGTTCGTGAAGATGAAATCAATTGATGGGCTGCCACATGCTTCCAAAATAAGTTTCATATTACCACTACCTTTAAGCCTGAAGCAGGATAACCCACCACTAATGTTTAAATTGTTCTGTTGGACTTTGTCCAACATCTGAATTATAAAATCATAAAATTACATTTGAAAACTTGATTCTGCATTTGTGATCAGGTAAAAAGGGGTCCAGGTCTGAGGCTGGTTCAACCAGGGGCCCCCCCAACAGATAGGGTTTCTGTCCTCTTCCCCTTTTTCTGAGGACAAAAGCAGAATCCAGCTTCCAAAACATCATGATTTGTAATTTAGAAAATGGACAAAGTCCAAAAGAACAATTTTACACATAATGCACCATCATAAGAAACTCTCAATCTTCAACCCAACAGCAGGTCACATTTCATAATCAAAAAACTGACTTCCCAACAGATCCACTAATTCATGAAATGAAGTCCAGTACAAATGGTTGTCATTTCCCTCAAGTTCTTTCCATATTGTAAACCCTTTATAATCCAAATGAAGGTAATGTAATTCCTGCCTGGAATTCACAACCTTAGACTTAATCTATGCCAGCCAAATAATAAAATTATCAAATTTGCACTATATGGATTTATGTATATTTTAAGAATATCAGAGAAGTTTGGAGATTCACTTCATCACAGATGTTGATAGAACACTTAGCATGTACTGTTTTGTACTAGATATGTTTTTTGTATAATATTGAGTTAGTATTTACATTGGTTGTAACAATACAAATTCTTAAATGTCTTGTGTGTATCAAAATGTACACATTAACACACAAAAATATAAAGGAATCTCAATTTTACATCTATGGAAATGTTACTCATATAGTTTATATTATATACTAGCATCAAATTAAAGACTTTCGATTCTTGTCTTGGTCTTGTTTGGAGTATTTTAGAAACAAAATTAATTTTGTGTGAAGCCCTATTTCAATTACTTATTTCACATTATAAAAATATTACATTTTGGAGAACAAATTTAGAAGTCAAAGTGAAGCATTAAACAATAAGACAGAAAAGCAAGACAAAGGTGAAATGGGTAGCAAAATTTTTGTTTCCACATGAATGGTTATTAATTCATAGAAAGACACATCATGTAGTTTAATTAATTACTATATGTAGGCTATTTTTTCAGTTCATAGCATATAATATTGTATTATTTATAAATTAATTGTGGCTGCTAATCTAGACCCATAAGTTTCTTAACTAGACCTATGATCATGCAAATGCAACAACTGCTTCATGTAACTGAGAAAAATGACATTCAGATTGTTGTTTAAATTCAATAAAATACATAAATCCTTTGAGTCCAGTCAGCAGCACCTGGGCATATGCCCCCCAACCTAAAAAACCACACTAATATAAAGGTTCAAGAAACATGGAAGATGCAGATAGAAGATCCATATTTTGTGTCTATTTGTAAGCGTGAAGGATAATATCAATTACATATTCAAAGATTTTACCTTAACTGCCTTCTGAGCTACCAGAAGGTGATTTACTATTATATCCACTGTCAGAGAGATTACATGGATGAGTTTTAATTATCAGACTTGATAATTGATTAATACCTCCATCCTCTAATGCCTTTAGAGAATACTTACTGGTAGATACATCTGTGAAAGAAGCAGCAAAGAGTAAATTAGTTTATAAGCACCATGCTTAGCACTATTCTGTGAAAGTGTGTATGTGCATTCTTAATCTT